GAACACTGGCGTCCACGTCCCAGCGCCTGTGTCTACATACGCCAACTGCAGCAGAGGGAGGTGGAGCTGGTCGCACAAGTGCGAAAATTATGAGCGGAAGCACTTGAGTGCGGCATGAGGTTCTCCATATAAACTCTCACGCCCAGCGGCATCCGATAGTGCGGGTTACGATTAGGACGAGGAAAAAGGGGACGAGGAGGAGCAAGAGAAACAAGAGGAGCAATAATCGTCGGACGCCCGGCCAGGGGGCAAGCACGGCGGGCCGGGCGGGAACTCGAGCCGGCTCGGCGGCGCCCGTGGCAGGGGAGCCGTGCGCGGCAGGGGTAGGGTGACCGGAGGAGGGGGATAAGGTAGACGAGGAGGTTCACTGTCCATGAAGGGAGGGGGGGAGTGAGCTCCAGACAGAGAGACGGGGGCATTCTTGTATTTGGGTGCTCTTCCGAAGAGGTACCCTTTCTGTTCCCCGACTGGGTTCCATCCACAGCCAGGGCCCGCCCAAATGAGAAGGCAGAGTCGGAGTCGGAGGACTCGGAGGGCCTCAGTAATGGCAAAATGCGTCAGCGATGCTGCATGGCGCCCTGCCGTCCCAAGCCCACTACTCATGAGTCCCTGTAGGTGTTCCTTTTCACCGCGTGAAGCGCTCCCTTGAAAAACGAACGCCCCATTGGGCTTTCATTAAACCACCACCACCCCTGTCTGAATTCACTGCGTACTTCTGATTTCATGGGCTGCGAATGGGTACGATCATAACATTGAAGGAAATGTTCAACGAGAACCCCGCTTTGAAAAAAGAGCCACTCTCTGTCCATATAGCTATTGCACAATTTGAACATCTGGGCGCATTTGCAAAACATCTCGAACGAATTCTAACTTGAAAAGACATAGCGCTCTATTCGTGTAACTGTTGCACAGCTTTGCGCATATGATCATGTTGAGAACATTTGAAACGAGAACCCCATTGTGAAAACGAGCCGCCCTCGAGTCGTGTAGATATGGGAATGATTTCAAACGACTGTGCGCGTCGCATCGCATTTTGATAACGATCCGCCCTCCATCCGTGCAGCTGTTAGCAACTTTTCGAACGAATGTACGCACCGCTCAAACGATAATCACATTTCGAACAACGGGTTGCCGGCTACCCATCCCATGTGTGGGACGAGTGTGCGCGGATCTGAACCGAGAGCGACACTTTCAATACTTTTTAGATTGCACGCTTCAAAATCACAGACGGCGAGGAATATTCGGCAGAACGTCCAGTCCGCCTTGCGGGCCCTTCTCGTAGTGGGACAAGGAGGAGTTTAAAACTGAGCAACAAGGACGGGGTAGGAGAAGAGCAGGGAGGAGACACAATGCGGAGGAGGAGGAGGGGAAGGAGGGATACTGAGAGGATGAGGGGGAGGAGGGAAAAGGGAGGAAGCTAAGCTAGGTGCGTGCGCCATACATGATATCCTACGCATCCCACGCATTCCTTCCCGTGCCACTTTGCCCAATCTGTCCGAGGGGTGTCTTTGCGGAGCTGGATCTCCAGAGTGACCCCATCGTGTGATGCGCATGGAGGAGGGGGAAATGGTGGATGAACGGTAGGAGAAGAAACATGATGAGAAGGATGAGGAGAAGTAGCGGCAAGACCAGGACTAGGGGGAACAGAGGGGGTGGTCAAGGGAACGTGGATGAGGAACGAATCGGATCCCAATTTGTGGTTCGTTTTGGCGACACCGCCATTATGAACGACACGAGCAACATGCCGACCCTGAAAAAGGGGCCAACGCTGCAGAAGGAACATCATCTTGGAAAAGCCAGCGACGCCCCGATGGGAAAGACGTATGAAGCAAACATTTTGAAATCAACTGCGTGGAAAGCAACGCGCGGGAGAGGCGGGGAGAGAGAAGAGCGCAGTACTCCTATTGATCTAGTGTGGGCGGGGAATCGAAGGAATGCTATAAATGTGGCGAGAGGTGGGCGAGAGGAGGTGGAGGCGAACCGAGGAGGGGGCCGAGAGGATGGGATGGGTAGGAAGAGATGGATGAGGACGTAAACGAGGAGGAGCAGGCGGACAAAGGCCAAAATGAGCGCAATGAACGCAGCAAGGGAAGGAAACCAATCGGCCGTCCCGCTGGCCCAGAGAAGCTGGCCATCGATGTGTGCGCGAACCCAAATTCTTGACGTCGGCGCTTGTCGCAGCGGCGAACGCGGTGAACGCGAAGGTCTGGAGCCTTTAATTGAGCCCCAAGTCTTGCTGAAACTGAAGAACTCCCCCCGGCGCGCCGACCGCGGAATCCCCGATTTGGTGTTTGAGTCGACCGAAATGTCGGGCGCCGCACATGTGCATGCCATGAGCATCGGTGAAGGCCAATGCACCTAGCTGAATCGCAGGCCGATGCTCCGCGCAACTCTCGTTGGAGATGGCGGCACCGTGGCCTGGTGTGCTCTGGCCGTGCCTCGGGTGGGCGGGCGACCGTGGAGGAGGCAGAGCATGGGCGGCGGACGACCGAGGAGATGACTGACCACGGCGGGGCGACCAGCACCACATCATGAGCATGTCGATATCTGGTTCACAAGCTTCTGGCTTCAAGTAACAGGCTCGATCGCACAAGGAGGGCCTACGATATCTATGGTGCACTTGCTGCATGAGTAGATCTGTTCTGCGCCGCAGCTGCCTAGTGCCGAATTTGGGGGCCTAGGGGGGCTCAACAACGTGCGTCCACGCCTCGTGTGTCTGGTTGACCATGGGGTTGTAAGATACCCGTCGGAATCTCGATACAAGTAGAGACTCTCGGCAACCAGGGTTGCTCTCGAACGGGTCCCAACATTCCTTGAAAGCTGCGGCGTGGAAGGCGGCGCGGTGCACGGCGGCGTCGCCAGGTGGGGCGCAAGCCATGAGCTTGGATTGCACTGCCAGCGTCAGTCCGCGACAGGGGCATCTGGTCAGAGAAAACGTTCCCAAGACTTTGCACAAAAGTCAGCAGTGCCTCTCTCGGCGGCGAGCGCGTGCTTGGTGGGGGGAGAGGCTGCGTGATGTGACTCAGAATGGGAAACGCGCGCATATTGTAATGGCCGGTAGACTTGAATTATCCCAGTGCGACCCTACCCAGGAGTTGGAGCCCCTAGGAAAGCAGTATTAGTAGTAACAGTAAAGCAAGCTAAAGCTAAGCTAGAGCTAAGCTCAAGCTAAGCTAAAGCTAAGCTGAAGCTAAGCTAAAGCTAAGCTGCAGCTAAACTCAAGCTAAGCTAAAGCTAAGCTCAAGCTAAGCTAAAGCTAAACTAAAGCTAAGGTAAACCTAATGTAAGTCAAAGCAAAGCTAAGCTAAAGCTAAGCTAGAACAAAGCTGAAGCTAAGCTCAAGCTATGCTAAAGCTATTCTGAAGCTAAGCTGAAACTAAGCTAAAGCTAAGATGAAGCTAAGCTGAAGCTAAGCTCAAGCTAAGCTGACGCTAAGCTAAAACTAAGATGAAGCTAAGGTAAAGCTAAACTACAGATAAGCTAAATCTAAGCTAAAGCTGAAGCTAAGCTAAAGCTAAGCTAAAGCTAGCGCTAACGCTAAAGCCAAAGCTAAAGCTCGCAGGAGGCTGGGGGAACCGCGGGGCGGGGACTGGGGGAACCGCCCGGGGCGAGTTGCACTGCCCGGCCCCTTTAAGAAAGAGAATAAGAACCCTTCTAGGCAGAGCCTAGGTAGGGAACAAACCGATGTCGAAAGCAGGGGCCCCCAGGGGCGCTCCAGAAACTTCGGAACATGGGGTTTCAAGGACTCCCCCTGACCTGCATGGCCAAAGACGAAGCCAACAAAAAACAACGTGAACACATATCCAGAACACGTTGCTGGTCATTCCCGCTCCCCGAAGATAATTCAACGCTCGCGCTTTTGCGGTGAACTTTCAGGGCGCAGTCTTGGTTTTCTTGACGTTCGAGATCAGACCAGCAGCGCGAGCTGCAATGCTGAGAACCTTTCAGAACGATGAACAAGCGGGCATAAATGTCTTGGGCCACCAAGCCCGCGTCGTTTACAAGCGCTGCAGGGCGCGCTTCATCTCGAGGTGAACGCGAGATCATCGTGCGAATGAATGGCAACAACGCCAAGCAGAAGACCGACCCGCTCAACGGGCGCCCTTGTTTGACACCGCGGCGCGGAGAATGAGGCTTCCCCGGGCCCGCAGACCATCGCTTGCACCGACATATTCTGGCGCAGCATGGTCAGTGCGTGCGCGACATGGGCGGGGATGCCAATGCAGTTCGCAATGAGCAGGAGCCAGTGCAGCGCAGGCGGGGAGGCCGCGCGAATGTAGAAACAGGTGAAGCCCGTCTTATCGGCTGCTAGCTGGCGCCACCGCGACGCTGCGCGTGTTTCGAATCACATGATGTAGGCTAGCATGTCTTGGCCTTTCATGAGCCAGCGCTGCTTTTCATGACGCGCTTCGAGACAGAAACGACTGTTCGGGGCACTCAACGCGACAAGTTCAGCGTCCGGGGCCCGAACCCTTCTGGCGGATGGCCGAAGTCCAAGAGGTCCGAAGTCATATCGTATGAAGCAACTAAGGCAGCGGGGCCCTGTCGGAATGCGGCAAACCATCGGGGCCAAACCTGGAGTCCTGAAGACCATTGATCAAATCCTGAAATTCAACCTTCTCAAATTCCAGCACATATAATTTGGACCGGGCTGGGTGGGCGGCTTCGTGTTTTCGGCGGCGGCAGCGCTATGAGCGCGTCCATATGCGCAGACTCCTACTGCCGAGCAAGACGTGCAGCAGCAGCGTCTGGATCGGTTTCGCAATGCCTGGCCAGCAAGAATGCCAGCAAGCGGGGTCTGGCGATGCTGGGGGCTCCGCGCCGTATAGTACTGCATCATGTGCTGCTTCATCGCGTGTTCACGGGCGGGTGGGAGAAGAACGCTGTCGATTTCGGCGCTCTCGGAATCGATCAACAACGTCGAAAGCGAGCCGGGGCAAGCGTGCGCGAACCAACTGCGTCAAGCCGCGTGCGCAATCTTTCGAGTGGATACTTTGCGGGGGCGGGGGGTCAATGGGGGAAAGCCGAATGAGCGCTGGCGTCCACGAGACTTCTTTAGCAACAGTGGTGGCTACTCGCTGGTGAGCTGTGTCCATCGGCTTCCTAGCAGCAGCGCGGAAGGTATGTCTAGATTCAAGCGCGCGCTGGTGAACTTCGTTCGAAAGGTTGCTGGCGACAACCTCGTCGATGATTTCAGCCGCTAGCGCATGGTGAAGAGCGTTGCGCGCGACGGATTTCGGGGCCCCCGGAGCCGAGGGCGGAGAGATGGGATCCCGGGTCGCGGCAACGGGGATGTGGTCCGAGGGATTGTCGGGGCCCAGGGCGTTCCCGATCGTGCATCTCCCGGGCTGGAAGTCGAGGATCCCGGCGGACAAGAAGTTGGCGTTGATCCGGTCACGTCACCCCGGGGATTTCTGCCCGTCTGTGCGCCCCAAGTGAGCGTGCTCAACCTGTTGCGCCTCGGAGGGCGCGCCGAGGGGAGCTCGGGGGCCCAAAACAAGCCATCGCGGTGCTTCCGCATGTCGAGCATTTCCTGAGAGGTCGCTCCTGCCATCACCGCGGGGCTGAAAGTGGAAGTCGCCGGAAGGAAGCGGGGCGCGCGCGCAGGGGCTCGCGAGGGCGCGCTTGCATTTGCCGAGGACCAGGCTCTTCTGGGGCTCGGGGGGCCGAGGGTTGAGGCGGGGGCCGGTGGTCTGAGGGGCGCCCATTGCGGCCGTGTTGACCAAACTGCGCAGACGGCCTGTGACCGACTCGGCGCGGTCGAAGCGCGTGAAAGACTGACGCAAAGGCGGGGGGCGAGATGACGTCCCCGCAGGCGGCTGAATAATGCAAATGGCGCCCCAGGCGCGAGCGCCTGCGCGCTCGGGGGCAAATATTTCAACATCTTCCTGTCTTCCATGGGATTCCTGGAGACAAACTTTTTCAAGTGCCTACCAACATGTAAAGCCGTTCGTTTCTGCAACTCGGCGTCAGCGTAAACGGAGGCGCGCGTGAACGTTCCAAGAAACCATGGACAGGTGCTTCATGCTGAAAAAAGGCACCGCGGACAAGGATCACTGGGGGCCCGAGAGATCGGGGTAAAGGGCGAAGAAGGGCGCGACGAACTGGAGGAATAATAATAATAATGATAATATTAATACTTGGAAGAAGGCGATCAAGAAGATACAGACATGGGAAGAAGAAGTGGGGAACTGCTAGTCGCTTATGACATGGCAACTGCAAGCGCGTGCAAACAAGTGTTGAGCCAGCCTCGCTAGTATGCCGCGCCTCCAGCGTGTCGGTGGTCTCCTAGCGCTTCGCGGCCTTGGCCAGGTCGGTGAAGCTTCTGACGTCGCTCTCGGTGGCGCCGTACCTGGACAGCACGGCCATATCGGGAATGATGCAGACGGCGTCGTCCTCGTCCTCGTTCGCCGTGTATCGGTCGTAGTCAGCCTCGCCTGCAATCGAGGATAAGATGCCACGAACCCCGTCGGGGCCTATCTTCGCCCCTCGACACGAGAACCCTTGCCTTTGGAGAACTGAAGGGTGGACTGCCGCAGCGAAAACAGGACTTGGTTGCGGCGGCGAACATCATTGGGCGCGCCAGTGCGCCCGCGCAGAGGAACTTCCGACTGCGACGCAGTGTCATTGTAAACGAGCATGTTGCGGTTGTCGCGCGGCCGATGGACGAAGTCAGCAGCCTGCTCGTCGGCGGTGAACTTCATGGACTGGTACGGGTTGAGATTGAACGAACGGATGGCGACCTTGTCGCTCTCGTGCGTGGGCAGGTGGCGCACGGCGGCGCGGCCGAAGCTCTCCGCGGAAGCGGCGGGTACTTTGCGGGCGAGCCCTCCGATCCAAAAATTCGCGCGCGGTCGCAGTCGGCCTTGAGGCTATCGAGTGGTCCGGCCGAAGGCCCCAATGTGAAGAACTGCAGCTGCGCTTGGACGCTCCGCTGGCTATGGGGCTGGCTGCAAACGACATTCGGCTGGTGGCGGACTCGCAAGCGAAGGGGCGTGCTTCGAGATGCTGACTAACGCGCGCGTTCGGGGCTGCCTGCAGCGCGGAGAGCGCGTTCTGATTAGCCGTGTCGATATTGCGTTGCAGGGCTGCGACCTTCCTGTCGTGCTCGTTCAGCTGGGCTTTGATGGCGGGCGACCGAGGAGGAGTGTGGGGGGATGGGCAGGAGGGGGGGCGGGGGGATGAGCCCCGAGGGGATGGGCTGGAAGGGTGGAAAAGGGGGGGGCGCTGGGCAACATCGGCAAGAACGCATGCTTCAAGAGTTTTCCAGCTTCTTTCAACAAGCAAGGTCGCGCACGGTTCCGAACAAAATTTGAGCAAGGCGGTGAAGGCGAAGTGGATGTATGCAAAGGCCGTGGCAGACGTTGAGCTTCTCGCTCGAGGGCCTTACCCGAGCGGAATGAGGCTTTTCGTAAGCCCAGCCCACCACGTTGAACTAGGTGCCCCTTGGAGCACGGCCGCGATGCCGTCTGGCCAAGTGCGCATAATTTCCAAAAATGG